TTGTTCACCTTGCGCAATGCCTTGCTCGCTGCCATCTGTACCCCAAACAATGGCCACTTGGTCGACATCCCTTTGCGCTGGAATTGAGGGGTCGAACGGCTGTCGGTCTCCCCACACACAAAGACCTGCACACAGTCCTGCGCGCCCGGGATCGGCTGTGCCAAATGCCCGAAGGCCACCAATGCAGCAAGAGAGGCCAAAGTTCGGCTGAAGTCGAGGCCCATCCAGACTCTCCACTCTTAAACAGGCAAGGCAGGTCGTTAGGGAAAACCTCTACAAAAAAAACCAGGGGGCAACCATCGGGTCTAAGCCGGACTTGGTAGACCAGCCACCTAGAACAACCCTACCGGTCTCACACTTGGCGTCCGTCCGAAAGGACTCACGAGGAGCAAGCCACATTTGCTTCACTGACTGCATTCCGGTACTCAGGCCACCCCTACCAGTCAGGAACTGCCCGAAAACGGGCGGCTGGTATTTTACGTGAACAAGGACACTTGGGACAAAGACCCCCAGCCTTGCCGCCAGTCCCCAAAGAACAGTCCTCACTCCACTTGGGCTGTCAAGGTGCGCCGTCGCCTATCCTGAGGATGTTTACGCCTTGACTATCCACTCGCCGCGTATTCCATCTCTTGCTTAAGCTGCCCCAGCAGCCCAAGTTTGACCTGCAGCTGCTGCTACCACCCTCTGTCCTGACGAGGAAGGACGGGGCTGCTACGGGGTAATTTGGTGATTCGAGCATGATCTGCCGGAGCCACCGTTGGGTATACCCGCTGACGATACTTCGCAAGCGAGGGCACTGAGCAGCTTTCTGCTGCCGGTTGTCATTGCGCTGGACAGCACTATCTTCTATCACATGTGGCAGCTGAACCATTTTGCAACATTTGTAATGGTTGTGAGGGGGGCCTTCCTGGCCCTGTCCGCATCTTCCCCATGCCCTGCATCTCTCCTGAAGTCTGGAACAGAAGCGGAGTGCAGTGGAAAAGTGTGACAACTACAGTAGTCACGGACGATCAGCTCCTTCGTCTTGAGTGAGATTATGGATGGATCGCTGTGGTCACTTATGATCCAGGAGAGCTTACGCTGCGCCTCATTGTAGAGTCCCCAGTCCCAATTGAAATGCCAGACCAATTGCCTGTAAAGGCAGATACTTGGATAGGCTACGGCCGCTCGATTACGACGAGCCATCCCACTGGTCAGAGTGAACAAGTGGAGGGTGAAGTGCATGGCTCGGAGGCCACTGGCCCCCAGCCTAGTGCCCTCCACCCAAACATGGAGCAACGCGGCAATAGCCTGCGAGGCCTTATTTGAGGTTCCCGAGGCGCCCGATCACTCACAGCCGAGTGGTCTTGATCGGGGCCACACGCCCGCTGAGGCGGCCTGCGTCCCGAACCTCCATCCACACAAGCTGCCTCAAGCCAGGCCGGAAGAGGATCGGTGCAGGGCCGGCCGGAAAAAACGCAGGCAGCTGTCGAATTCCCTGATGCGTCGATTCCTCCGGTAGTTAGGCCTAAAAGACGTGGGCAATCGGCGGCTTTCAGCCATTGCGGTCAAAAGACTGCCATGGGATGTGCCAACAGACAAAATCTTAGCAGAACAGCGTAGCTAGGGCCACCATGCGGTGACTACGTCCAAATCGAAGCCGATGGGGAGCAGCTGTTTCTCACTTTCGGCGCCATGGGAATCGCCCTGGAGAACATTGCTGCTGCTACCAGCTCGTCCGAGCCGGCCGCTTGGTGCAGATCGGCGGCATGCAGAGGATTCAGAGCAGACTCAACGCTGTGAATCACCTCCAACGATCCCATCACTCAGCACTGTCACGGTCTGCACCGGCGGTTGCACAATTCTAGGTCAGAAGATTGTGCTGCAGAACCAATATAAACTGTGCGCGTCGCAGACGAGGTTCAGACTGAAGCCGTCGAGCTCACGGAGAGACGCATTAAGTGCAGGTTCTGCAGCGTATTCGTTTCGCCAGATCTGCGTTGATCAGGCAGCTACCTCCGCTGGTGGTCAGTGCAGCCAGCTGGACGCTACCGGCCGTGCTCGCAGATAGAGCTATCGCTGCACTCACGGCACGCACTCTGAGCGTTCTTGGCCACACTGTGCACGCCCGACCGTGCTCGCATGTCTTTTTTGCGGCGCTGTTTGCGCGCCTGCACCATTTTTGCTGAACGGCTATCGGGGACGGGAGTCAGAGTTCTTTAGGCACCGGCATTTTTGGTTAATCGAGCACGCTCACGCCGGCGCCCGAGAGTGTCACGATTTGAAAGCTCACCAGGTGGATGTACATGCGCTGGACGCGGTCCGCCAGCATGTTCTTGAAACTGAACCGCGCGAGGTCGCCCGACCGCGTGCTGATTCCGCTCAGCGGGTGCTTGGGGACGCGCTCCGTGGGGCGGGGATGAATACCAATTCAGCAAGGATTGACGAGTGTGAGTGATGCCAAATTGGATTATTATCAAGTGTAAGTGTTCTTCACGCAGGCATGCGCTGGAGCCGCTGGTTCTGACCGAGGGTGCGCCCTTCAAAAGTTGCTTGCAGAAGCTGGTCCATATCGATATTTGTTTTGATAGTGACAGTGGCCCAGGGCAGCTGGGCGTCTGGCTTGTGCAGCATCTCCCGCGTTTGGACATCGTGCTTGTCGGCCAAAGACCTGAATGCACCGACTGCTGTGATCCCAAGTCTGTCTTCTGAAGGCCCGACACCATCACGCACAACGCTGCGATTAGAACCTGCGTGAAGGCGAGTGCTTTGGAGCAGGCTCGCGCGGACTTCTAATGTGCATGGGACATGTTGCTTTTGTGGCTCTGCTGAGCCAAGCTGGTTGCAGGCACGCCAGATATTTGCAGCCTCGTGGATGCCGCGCTTGTGCTGACACCGTCCGGTCATTTGTTTGCGATTGTTTGGCTGCTGCGCATTTGCCGATAGCAGGAGTAAGCTTCAACACGGCCATCAGTGCCTGCTCCTGTTCGCGTTGGGACCTGGTTGTGTACACTCAGTGGTCATTTGACATTCTGGCTGAAGTCTTCTGCTGGCCGTTCTGTGTCTTTCAAATCTCGCGAGTTTTCCGTCACAGCAAATGTGCAAACATTGTGTTTTCCACATGCCAATCGCTGTCGGTTGTCTTTGTGAACTATTCCTCGCGAGTCTATTGAGCCTTGCAGGCGCTCACCATTTTCTGCATGCTGAGAGACGATCGGCTGCTTTGCTGATCAGCACGGGTAAGGCAAGATGCTCGTTCATCTGGCTGATTTGCATGATGCAGGCTAAAGGCGGACTTGGTTTCGTACAGCTCCCTCATCAGTTGCCTGATGGAACTTTGAACATCTGGAGGCCCCAACATGTTGTGATGGGATGTGATGCGTCATCAGTTTGCAAGAAATCAGGTGCATTTGGTAAAAGACTTCAGTGGCAACGTGCTCTGGTGCTCGTTGCTGTCCCTTGCCCAAAGTTCCCAGTAATGTTTGGAGCCCAGCGTGATCTCTGCGGTCCTTACTTGTATTCAGATTTGGAAAGAAAACATCACAGACTGCAAAATTCAAATTTGCAGATCCATGTCTAAGGAACTTGGATGACAGCAGCGGGCGCTGCAAAATCTAAGGCTTCAAAGATTTTGCTCCACGAGATTCGGCCAGACCTGATCCTGTGCAACACGCTGATCCGTGTAAGGAACTCAAATTCGCAGTTGCTTGCTTCGCATGGCTCAGTGATTGAGCTGAGGCCTACGAGAAAGGACTTCAGTGGCGAAGAGAACCGACCTGAACACAAGTTTTCTGTGACCTGAAAATCTGTTGGGCCGGGGGTCGCAGATGACCGCGTCTTGGGTCAGACGGAAAATCTTGAAAGGCTTGGGCCAAAACGGAAAATGGTCTCGTGGTCGCGGTGACCGTAGCTTTTTCGCAGCTGAAAACTGTAGCAAGCTATGGCAAAATCGTGAATAATTGAATTTTGTTTTCAGATATTTGTGGCAGGGGCCGAGGAGCAGGCTTGGTCAAAAATGACCGGGTAACCGGGGAGATGAAGGGAAGGAAGAGACGAGAGTATAAGCGAAAAAGGGCGAACAAGAAGGAAGAAGGAGAGAGAGGAGGATGAGGCCAGGGTGGTAAAGGAAAACGAGTAAGAGAAAGGAGAGCAGGAACGAGGAGGCAACAGCAGGTGCGAAGAAGAGGAAGAGCAAGCAGCAGTGAGATGGCGGGTCCTTTCCGGTGGAGAATTATGTTATTCTTTGGCGGACTGTTTTATTCCTCGAAAAAACGAGCGGGAGACAGGAGGAACAGGTGAGGAAGCGAAGACAAAGCAGCAGCTGCATGGAGTCGCTCGGCAGAGGTCCAGGGCGCAACGGGCCTGTCTCGAGCGCTGCCTCAACAGGTCGGCGGATTACTGCGGACATGTGCTGCTGGGGTGCAAATCCTGTCAGGGAAATTGCTTGAGCTTTTCAATCGCAGAAGTCGTACGTAAACGTGTGTTTCGTGACGATAACTCGAATTCTCGTGAAATTATCACTTCAAGAGGAGGAACTTTTCATCCAACCCATTTGAAATGCGTTGCACTGTTTAGTTCAGTTACGCGAGCGCATTTCTGAACACCATAGCTTCACAATGAGACCCAACTTGTTCAAGAACTTGTTCGCAGCTTTCCCCGAATGACGGACATTTCAATGCCAGCATGCTTGTGAGTGTTTGCAGCTATCTGGTTCATTGTGGGTTGACGACTCGGAGCCTTTTGTGCAGCAGGCAACAGCATCGGTGGATGTTAGGTGCATGTTTTCAGCAGTATGAATCTGAAGAGCATGCATAGCAACATGCACTGTACCAATGCTATAGCTACTATCTAAACTCCTTAAAGGAGGGTCATTTTCGGGATTATAGGGGGGAATAAGGGGGATACTAGGAGATTAGACTATAGCTTATGAGATGGCATGGCTGATGGCAAGAGTGTGCTCATGTCGGCGGGCTCTCTTTACAATTATGGTTTTTGTCCTAGCGTTGTCAAGTTGGATGCAGATGCAGTGGCGAGTTGAGTCAAGCCAAGATGGCTGGCGAGTTCTTCCCTCAGATTTCAGTGGCTGCACGAAGATCTTTCTGGATGTCGGTGCGAACCGGGCAACTCACATCAGAAAGCTTTTTGAGCCGGAGAAGTATAATGAGTCGAGATATCTTCCGATATTTGACGAAGCTTTTGGGTCAGCCTCGTTTCGGTCGATGCCGTCACGGGCGACAGGACTGTGCGCATTTGGGTTTGAGCCGAATCCAAGGCCAGCCAGTTTTTTTTCATGTTTGAAGTTCGGTTCAGCCAATGCCCCAAGGTTGTGCTTCTACGCAGCCAGTCGGTCTGTGGATTTTCCTTCGTGCTAAGTTCCTACGCTTGTCTCTGCAAAACAGACAAGTGCTGTGTGCACCCGGGACCTCTGCATCGTTCACATTGCAGTTGTAGCGCGCGCCCTGATGTACGTTGACTCCGAATAAATGTCACACAGATGTAAACTTCAGACTGCAGAAGCAATAGCTGTCTATCTTATCCGAAAATTCTATCTTTCACCAGCATCGGTCAGATCCCGGCGGGTGCAGGTTGCCTTACGTACTTTTCTTCATTGTGCACCATGATCATGACTGACCGCAACTTCCCAGCTTGTCATCCTGTCGGACCTTCCACTTGCGGTGATAAGGTTGGCAATATCTGTATGTCTCATGCTGCTTGTGTTGAGAGATGGGCTTCGAGCATGCGTGTGGCAGGTGGGGGCAGCGCCTTCATGAGATCGAGCATGCCTACAATGCGAAGGGATGGCGCGTGAAGCTTGGTGAGACTTGGCAAGTGTTTGTGTTGGAGTTGCTGGAGTTGCTGGGGTTTGTGTAATGTGGGGAGGAAGTGAGCGCTGCCCAAGGAAGTTGTACAATGTTGCCGTGGGAGTTCAGCCTGGCAGCATAGCGACCCGTCCGGATCTTCAAGCGAGTTAAGAGTCTTTCAGCACGTTTGCCTTTCGAGCTTCGGCATTCTCTACATAATATGAATATGTAGACAAGCATGCCCAGACATCCAACATGACGGCATTAGTTGCCGCAGGTCTTCTACAAGAACGACCCAAAGGGCCTCAACAGCGATTGGGGTTTCAGTGCTTTTGCACTGGCAAACTTCGTGCCCGGAGCGAACAAAACGCTGACAGTCCCTGTTGTTGACTTTCCTCTATTTCTGCAAGACCTGGACAGGCATGCGCCTCCTGGCCAAAGGCTTATGAAGCTGGACATCGAAGGGAGTGAGTACCAGCTTCTGCCAGCAATGATTGGCAAACAGCTGCTGTGCGCAAGAGTCCTGAACACTGTCACCATGGAGTGGCATAACAGGAAGAACAAACGCGGAGAGCAGAGGATGAACGTTACGGCTGATGTTCGTGGCATGTTTGAAGAGGTGGAATATACAGTGATGAAAGGCCGATCCTGCAAAGACGGGCCGGCGACTAACATCAAACTGTTCGATGTCGAAGACTACCTCTCAGATGGTCAGCCTTTGCCATAAGTACTGTCGCTTTGCTGGAGTTTTCCTCTGTTCAGTGATGGGTGGCGCGTGGGCATCCTTGCAAGCATGTTCCCATGGACAAGCTGGCGTTGTGTGCGATCTTTTTCGCAGTGGCACTCAGTGTTTTCGTCCAGGTGTGCACTCTTGAAGCACGTCGACGTGATTGCTGCCTTTCATGTAGCCTCTCCTGTCATGCAGACTTGGCTCCCCTGCAGGATCGTGAGATTGGCAGCTTCTGTTAAAACAATGAGCGCAGCTATGTCTAGAAGAATTCTGTTTAGCACTGCCGATCTTCAACTAAATATACTTCACAAAGGGGTTTGCATAATCTATCTCCTCCCCCTATGTTACACAGGGCTCCAATGCAGCCGCCATGCTTGCACTGCCCCGCCTCATCTCAGAGTGTTGTGAGTGGCTCGTAGACGCCCCTATCGCCCCCCCCCCCCAAACCTAAACCCTAAACCCTAAACCCTAAGCCCTAAACCCTAAACTTTAACAAGGGCCAGTCTCCTTAGGAATTATTTTAAGGCCTGGGGTTTAGGATTAGGGTTTAGGGTTTAGGGTTTACAGTACAACCCTAGGGAGCTATTGAACACAACGTTTTCAAATTAGGTCTGGAGGGTTTACAGTGCAGATGCTTTTCTTCACTCAAACTGATGAAGACTACTTGGAGGGTGGTTAATAAGGGCGAGAACCGGTCGTACCATAGAGCTCTTAAGGGGTTATGAGTATACTTACTAAGTCACCCTGACCCTCCAAGTAGTGTCCTTTTTACAGGTGGCTACTGTTGATGGATGAAATCTTGCACCGCCTTAAGTCCCTAAAGTCCTAGGAATTACAATAATTCAGGGCCCCTAGGTGGTGCAAGATTTCATCCATCAACAGTATTAATCTGGAGAGGTCTTGGCGGGGAGTGAAGGGGTGTTGGATTCACGCAGTTTGGGAATGAGGTTCAGGCTTTGTGAGGCCACGGCCCCCCTTTTGGAATGGCTTCACATACTCCTCCCCTCCCTCCTTAAGCACGAGTAGGCCCTAGACCCTAAATCCTATTCTGAACAAAGTTCTCAAGATCTCTCCCAGCGTTTTTGTCAACCCATCCCCTGGTTCTAATTTGGATTTGGGGATTAGGGTTTAGCGCCTACTGCCAAGAAAGGGGGTCCTGTTCTTGGGGGGAGCTCCTTATCATAAGAAGGACGGCTACATTTTGGGGGTATGTAAGGCAGGGACATTCATTATGGTTTCCGGCTTAAAGTTTGGGCTCCATTTGAATCACATTTCTAAGACCCATCAGTCCTCAATTATACCTGCAGGCATTTGCCATTGCTCGGTTTCCAGGTGTAGAGTTTAGAGTTTGACTAGACTTACTCGGGGCATGCGTCGAACCACAGGCAACATCCCAAGACTAGAACTTGGCAAGATGAACTCTTTCTAAACCCTCCTCGACCCCAACGCCCAAACGCCTTTGTGATATGGAATGCAGTCACAGCTTTCCCTTTGTCGCGTGGTGACGTGTGGGATTTTCTCTAAGCAATGCCTGTATGAGCATTTAGGACTGTCTTCGTATTTTTTGGAATCTCTACATTCCCCAGACCCTCTACACCTTAAACCCTAAACCTGAAACCCTATACACCCTAAACCCTAAACCTTAAACCCCAAACCCAAACTGTAAACCTTGAACCCTGAACCCCACGTCCTAAACCTTAAACCCCAAACACGAAGGCCCAAACCCTGAAACCTCAACCCTAAACCTTAAACCCTCAACCCTACACCCGAACTTGCAGAAGGGATAGCTTCAGTCAGTCCGATGCCCTCATTGTTTACGGGGTTGCTGATAAGAAGCTTGAACTAAGTTACCTTATTACTTATTATGGGGTATTATGGATTTATAATGGATAAAGGGGTCTCGGTATCATAGTACATTATATAGCTTAATCTACGTTCCTTATCAGCAGCCCAGTTCATGTTGATGTTTGAGCAACACGTCAACAACAGCAACAAGTTCTCCGAGAAGCAGTGAAGTAGCAACAGACATGAGGGGTCCAGGGCTAGGTTTTAGGGTTAGCAGTGTATAAAGGGACATTAATGGGAACCCCAAACAGGGAACGCCAAGAATATAGTAGGAATTTAAGAGAATATACGGACCCTGGTAGCCTAAGCCCTAAGCCCTAAACCCTAAACCCTAAACCCTAAACCCTATATTCTTGGGGTTCCCTGTTTGGGGTTCCCATTAATGTCCCTTCAGTGTAGCAGATGAGAGCTGCTTGGGAGCAGCAGGGCCCTGCATCTCGCCTTAGGGTTTAGGGTTTAGGGTTGTAAGTATGTAGTGTTTCCTGTATTCTACAAGGTTCCTGAAAATACTTAGTACTTTCTGTTACCAACAATTCTAATATTTGGCTGAAATTATAATTTCTACTGGGGTTCAAAATCCCTTAGAGTATTCTGCTCCTTAGTCATAATGGAGCTTCTCGAAGTAATGGTTTCCCTCTATTGGGGGATTCAGGGTTTAGGATCTAGGGTGCAGGGGGCGTACGTCTGGTAGAATTGCGAGCTCACATCTTCTGGCTTCTGAAACTCAACAAATCCACGCAACATATGATTTTGCCATTACGTTCCAGTATTTCATACAGTATGTTGCTGAAACATTTGGGCCCACCCATCCCGCCCTTGTGGATAAATTAACAGCCGATTTATGTTTCACAAGGATTGGAATGCTCGGTCTCCTCATGTGGATAATGTATCCGTACTGAGATTGTGTGGAGGTGCGACCCGAAACATTTCCGTTTGCGCGATCAGCCTCCACTCGTATGTTCTTCCTTGTAGATCCGAGTGTATGCCCATCGTTCTAGGGCTCGAGGTTTTGGGGGTACAAGCCAGGTTTTTTTGAACCCCCCCCCCTTTCACCATCCAGGTGCCCCCAATGCTGGATGGCGACATGCCATGTATGAATCCATCCATACACCTATCCATTTGTGAAACATGAGCTCCCGATGTTAAGCTGGTTGAGCGACTAACCATTCCAACCCAATCCGCCAAGACGTTCTGCTTGTGGCCATTTGATGCTCAAGGTGTTCCGCGTTTTTCTTGGGGGTTGTGATTCTGTACCTGCAGCGCAAACTTGCAAGCTGAAGTTGCGCCTTTAGTGCAACGAGGCCGTGCTATGAGCAAGCCCCTGGGCCCAAAACTTGATATTGTTGATCTTTCATGGGCCCGGAGGAGGGCTGATTGAATTGTACACTGCTGTTTGCATCTGAGTGTCATGTTTATGCCCCCTGGTTGATTTATAGTACTGTGCTTTCGAAGACTATTGGGTGCAGGACCATTAAGATTCAGTGTTCCTGATCTACCAGGATAGGGCTTATCAACGGACTTTCTGCAGCGGGTTGTCGTAGCACATGGGGTTTGTTTCCATGAGACATTGACGTGAGATCAGGAGTATTCAGTGGGTTTGTGCAGTGATGATAGGGAGTGTGGGACTGACCCACGTTTCGAGTTCTCGTCGAGCTTTTCAACAGGTTGAACTCCGTAGAGCTGTGCGCCCATTCCGCATATCCTGGGATGTTTGAAGCCTCAATCCAGAAGCCTCACACCGGGCCTGATCCCAGGAGTTGCGAAAGATGCGAGATCCTCCTTCCAGCAGCAGTTGGCCTCATGTGTCTTATCGATCCAGGAATACTTTGGCATTTGAATTGCGGAACAGTTTGTACTGGACCGAACGTGTGCTTTTTGTTCACAGACATGGTCACTAAGTTCCGGCGCCGTGGCATTCACATTGATGTCGCAAGGCTTGGCCCTGCGCGTGTTTTATCTGGTCCATTAGGTATGACCACCTAAGGGTTTATGGTGCCAATACGGAAAGGTTTATTGTAGAAATACCGCTGGTTAAAGGTACAACAACTTTGATGCACTTTCCTATTGGATTCAAAGAAGGGCGCTCGCCGCTTACCTATGAGGGGATGTTGGGAAATGTCAGGGATGGCATATTAGCTTTTGTGTGGAGGTCTAGCACCCAACAATGAGGAAAAGTGCCCGCTGACATGAACATATTTCTGTTGTCATGATGGGGGTCTATGAGGTTTACGAGCCACAAAGAAGCTTGGGTGTTTTTGGCTTTTGGGCTTGAGCGCATGGATCCATACGAGACTCAGTCCAGTTCAATGGTGAAGGGCTTAGGTTTCGGGGTTTTGAGGGAACGGCCTTGAGCAAGGCGAGGAGTCCAGATGTTTCATTTTAGCCTTAAATTAAGTTACTAATTACTATGTTGGGGAAACCCTATTATTTACTATATATACCCATTATGGTAACTTAATTTAAATGTTTTTCCGAAAGATGTTCTGGCTGGAAAAAAACGAGATCATTCCAAGCACCTTTCCTGCACATTTTCAAGCCTTAAGATCCCATCCAAGCCATTACGGGTTCATGTTGTCTGTCAACACATGTCTAGAGGTCAGGCCCAATTTTCTTGTTTGGATTCCCAAGCCCGTGTGGTTTCTATGTAATGCGATGCATCGGGCAAGGTGAGCGAGCTAGCGCTGTAGGTTTGTTGCATAGCACACGCGCCTGTACTGGAAAGACATTTTGAAACATGCTGGGTCTCCCACGTGAGCTATAGTACATTCATTTTCGGCAAGACGTCCCTCTGTACGCCGAAGAAGGCTTTCTGGAGCTCAATGGCCCTTTGTTTCAGGAGCCCAATAATCACCACTCTTCTGTGGCCTGCTTTCCAGGAAATGTCTGGAGCCTGAACTCCTGACCAGGTTTGTTTTTGCTAGCCAGGTTGCGTGGATACCATGAAGTGTTAGAACACGTGACATGTCCCTGAACCCTCAGCCCTTGGCCCTAGACTCGATACCTGAAACCCTACACCAGAGGTGCGAGCATGGCGAGGTTCCCTTCTTCGGCAACTGGCAGCAACCTGAGAGTACAACAGGGCAACAATGCAGAGGCAGGAGACTCTCAATTGGGATTCTAAGCTGGTAGGATGTATGGTCGGAGTGGTGGGG